TTCATAAAAATAAATATTAATAGGAATCGAATGTTTTTTGAATCGGTTGATCCGTGCGCCCGAAAACGTGGACAAAAAATTATATTCACACAACATACAGAATACAAAATATACAGAAACCTTCAAGATGTGAATAATTGTATAAGTTTTTTCAATTTCGATTTTTGGATGAATACAATAATTTACCCTACGGAAGTTAATAAAAGCTCTTGCTAATCATTGATAATTTTGGTGAGATGGGTTCCTCCCTCAAAGAGTAATATTTAGAGTTGGAATTTGAAATTGATGAATTTTTGTACAATTTTTGTGATATTGATTTGGGGGTTATTTACTTAGAAACATATTGCTATTTTTATTTTCGAAAATAAAAACCGATGCCACTATGCGTATCGCATCTCTGATTCGAAGTCCTTAGGCGCCCATAAATTGTTGGAAACAGTTTCCAATACGATTATTTTGTACAAAATAGATTAATTTTTCATCGGAAAGTAAGCTCTAGATAAATGAAATTTATATCTATTAATTTATCTCTTCGGCTGGTATTACAATTCCGAAGTTACACCAAAATCCGGTCTTTTCGCGGATCGTAATGTAATTGATATCGGGCCGGTATTTACAAAGCCATAAATATTGCACGTTTAGAATTTAAGCAAAGAGACAGGCGAATGCGGGAACAAGCTCCATTAATTCGAAACGATATTCTTCGTCTTCCCATTAAATCTAATATCCCAAAAACGACCAGGATGAATTATTGAATTTAATCGCTCTCTAAACGAATAAAATGGGACGCAGATAGGTACATCTTTGGGAAAATTGTATTTATTAATTATTAATATCATTTGATTTCTGTGCTGAATTTGCTTAGGAGACATGAAATTATGGTTGTTTTGGGTGGAAATACAACATTAGGAAAGGATGAAAGAATCATTAAGTTTAATCATTTTATTTTAATGTCTCGGAAAGATTCTGGGAACGGGAAGGTAGTATTGATCATAATTGCCACGAAAATTTAAAAATAAATTGTTTCGATGTTTGAAAATTGTGATCTTTTAAGTGCAACCTAGAACTTTGGTAAAAATGTGACCATTTTTTGTTGGCTATAAAAATAATTAATTTTAATCATTTTATTTAAATGCAATTAGAAAGGTTCAGAACATGGCGTGATAGTATTGATCATAATTATCATGAAAAAATTTAAAAAATAAACCGTCCCACGTTGTTTGAAAATTATGAGCTTTTAAGTGCAGCCTAAAACTTTTGTAAATTTGTGACCATTTTTTGTTGAATGAAAGAATAATTAATTTTAATCATTTTATTTAAATGTTCTGGAAAGGTTCAAACAACGGGATGGTAGTTTTGATCATAATTGTCACAATTTTTTTGAAAAAGTCGTCTCACGCTGTTTGAAAATTATGAGCTTTTAAGAGCAATCTAAGGCTTTGGTAAAAATGTGACCATTTTTTGGTGAATGAAAGAATAGTTAATTTTAATCATTTTATTTAAATGCATTGGAAAGGTTATAAACATGGGGTGATCGTATTGATCATAATTATCACGAAGAAATCTAAAAAAAAATCATGTCAATCTGTTTGAAAATTATGAGCTTTTAAGTGCAACCTAAAGCTTTAATATAAATATGATGATTTGTTGCTTGTTGTGGTTAATTTTCATTATTTTTATTACATTTAAGCTTTGGATCTGTAATCAGAAATAAAATTTCTAGGATCACAGTCAAAAATAATGACAGAATTGCGCCAAGTTATCAAGAATTTAGGCTTTTTGTTCAACTATGATTATACAATTTTCAAAATTTAGTCAACTTTTAGAAGCCCTACTTTTAAAAAAATGTACTAAGGCATAATGGCAAGGTCCATCAAAAGTTGATATATGTAATCAGGATTGTAGAATAGTAAAATATTCAATAGTTTTATAATAAAAAAATAAAAATCTATATATTACAAATCCATAGATCTATAAACCCAAAATATTTATATATTATGAAAATATTCGAATATAAATATTCAAATTCAAAAATCAATGCCATCAAGAAATCTGATCAGCATGGCAACGATACTGATATCAAAATCTCAATTATAAATCCTATTAAGATATCTCATTTCGCATGCTCCAATTTATTTTTTCGATACGCGCTCTGTATAAATTATTACCTTAAATGAAACACCGTCAATAATTCAAAAATAAGAGAATAAACTGGGAAGAATTTTGATAAGGGAAAAGCGTCACAAGATTATGTGATAAATAAATAATTTTCTATTGGTTATTTTTAAAATTTGTAAAGGAAATATTAAAAAAAAGGAATAGAATTTTTGGGGTATTTTTGAAAATATTTATCAAAAATTGTATATAGTATTTAGTTATACTCAGAACTACTTTATTTAAAATAATTTATTTTAAAAAAAGTCTTCATTTTGTAGCATTATTACTATACTTATCATCGTAGGTCAGATTAGTAAACTAGTATTTTAGTAAACTCTATTTTACCATTAAATATTACTAAAATTGTTTGTGAAGTATTATTTTCAGTACCTTTAGTACTACGATCATCATCCAAAAGCAAAAATAAATCAACAAATCAAATAATTATTATGAACTATAGTCAAATATAATGATCATTATATTTGTCTATATACACAAGGGTATTATTTTCATAATTTTTTTAAAAAAACCTTAGTGATATTTTTATAATTGTACTTTATGCATCATGTATATAAATTGACTAATTAATTATTTTCCAATCACGAAGCGACATAAATTATAATACGTCAATCGAGTCCTAGTTTAAAATGTAATGTCGATGCAAATTGCTTTGTAACTATATGGAAGGATTTTGAATAGCAATTATAAATTGTTGATGATGGCAGTAATTTGAATTTTGCTATGCAGCAGGTTAATCAACGGTTTAATTGCATTTTGAATATACACTTTATAAAATGAGTTGTTTTAAAATCTTATTAATAGGATTTATGAAGGTATGTTGATGCACTTAATAAAAGATACTAAATTAAGAATTTTTTCTGCGTAAAATATTCTAAATTTGAAATTCAATTATCATAGTCGGAATCGATCCTTTCTGAGGGCTGCATAATACTGTCCATAAAATTTTATTCAAATAAGGTTTTTTCCAAAACTTTACCGTTCGGTTACTATCTATATCCTTATTTTCGCGAACGTAGCGTCTGAAATGTTCTCTTATGTTCATATTTTATTATTCAGACCCAACCTTTAACATGTTCATGCAAAGGATATGCTTTCAAACGCTTTCGACGGCGTTATATTATATATTCTATAAATCTATTATAGAGAATCGTGACAATAACACAACGATCCCATATGCGAAAGTCTCCCTCATGTGCGTGAATACGTGATGTGCATAACTTGTGGCTTATTTATTATACATTAAATATTTTATTGCGCTGAAAAATCGAATCGAACCCGGATTTATAAGGAATATTTAAAAGAAATTGTGTTTTATGTACCCACGGGAGAAATGAGTGCCGATCATGCATTGTCAGCATGTATCTGATCCCAATTTAGTATATTTTTTTATATTTTTTTTTATTTTATTTTCATTCTGCAATCTATAGAAAAATAATTACATTTAGCAGAGAATGCTGACAAGTTGTTTACAATTTAGAATATGTTATGCTTTTTATTGCTTTAGGAAAAACAGAGATAATTATATCTGTACAACTAATTTCGGTTATAATTGTATATAAAATTTAGGATCCAACTCTGCGGTAACTTAGCCGATAACATAGCGTTGTTATGGCAACACTATCTTATCCTTCTTTTCTGGCACTAAATGATTTGAAATATTTAAAATACGCCTGTAAAATACATATATCTAGCATTTCACAGTTTTTAGTACCAAAAAGAAGGATAACATGGCGTTGCCATGACAACGCTATGTTATCGGCTCTGTAACCACAGAATTGTCCCCATAATTATACCTTGCAAAAATTACAACAAAATATTCTTATTGATTTTGGTATAATATTATCAGTTTCAATATTCTATCCAGGTATTTATTTATATAATAAAAATACAATTAAAAATTCATGCAATTAAGTCAGTAAAAAGAATTCACAGCGCAGCTAAAAGATAGAGATATTGCTTTATAAATTAACTATAGTCTTTTCATTCCATGAAAGTTGTAAAAGATTTTAATCTAATTAAAAGAGCTAAAATAGAAGAAATGAAAACATAAACTTTGCAAGAATGCAATATTGTAGTTGTGTACACTTCTGCAAGAAAATTCGCTCGATGTAATTAAAAAAACATAATTAAATTGTCAACAGACTTTGTGCCATTATGATTAAAAAGAAAATATAAAAATGAATAGGTATATAGAAAGAGATTTAATATTTTCAATATATATTTGAAAAGTTCAGAAGTAAAATGATTTACATTAATATATCCCTTGAAATATAAATTACCTATAGCTTTTTTGGGTTGTTATAATGAATATATTCAAATTTTGCCTCGAATTTTGCATTTGACAATATGTGAAATATATGTGAAATTTGCATTTCATAATATTATCTATATTGATAGTATTCAATGCTCAAAGAAATAGAATGAGTTCTAAAAAAAATGAAACCTTCTAATTACTAGTAGATCTCTAATATTATTGTTTAATAGTAGGACAAGACATGCCTTGTATATAAACTTATTGCATTTTATATTTGCTCTATTATGGTTTCAATTTTCATTTACCATGGTATGTCTTGTAAAATACAATGGAAATATAATTCGACCAATGTGATAAGTACTATTCATGGCAAAATAATAACTAAGACTTTTTCATGGCATTTTTAATAGAATTTCCAATCCCGTAATAACACAACAAACGATTCATGAAAAGCAAAATAATATTTTTACTGCGGATTATAAAATGCTGAGATAATGTTTTCTATAAAATCTTGTTTAAACTCTGAACTTTTTTAATGAAATTCTTCATATAAACTTTAATATTATAGGAAAATGTTTTGCAATGTACTCGTAGTTATTGCTAGTTGCAGTTTCTCCGATTGTTTTGTGCAAAACTGCGAGAAGAACATGAACAGATATGGAAACAGTACGCTAAAGTTTTTGGAAGTTTTTGTTTTTGGTCAGAAGATAAGAGAGAATTTTCGTTGTTGGGAAACACGACTTTAGAGTAAGTACAATGAAAATCGATTTATGTTTTTAAAGTTTTCTTATGGGGTAGGGCGGGGCACAATATTCCCATTTGACTTTCAGTAAAAACATAACAACCTATAGTACATGACATATTTTAAAAAAACAACTATTGAACGTTCATTAAAATTTCTAATTATTCCCTTTAATTATAAATATGTGTATTTGCTATTTTTCTAAAATTACCCATCTCTCATTTTATTTAAGTAAAATTTGCAATTATTTCCTTTGATTATAAAAATGTGTTTTTTGCTATTTCTCTAAAATTCCTCATCTCTTCCTTTTTAACGCATAGGCAGGATAAATAGAAACAGCCAGGGAACAAACAGACCCAAAGTTTTATTTTCAATTTTAAAAGGATTTAAGGGAATAATAGCTACATTATTCAACCAATGCAAAATATTAATCTCATGCGTACATTTTTTGCAGAGATAACACTGTATATAACCTTGATCTGGTATTTTGTCATAAAAGTTTATCACTATTTATATTTTTTACACTTTTGTCAGGGTAAAGGTTCAGTTAGTCCTTATTCCCTCACCCAGGTGTAAGCTTTTATAGAGGTTATATAAAAAACTGTTGAATCTAACTTAAATTCACCAATAATTTTAATTTAAAATCAATTATTTTCTTATGTGTTTTATGCTATTATTAAAAATTCCTCGTCTGTTCCTTTTAACTTCATATGTGGAGTAGAAAAACGGCAGTCAAGGGGCAAACAGAACCAATGGTTTATTTTAAATTTTAAAAGAATTTTTACGAAATAATATCTTTAATCGATGCAAAATGTAAATCTCATGGGTAGATTTTGTGCAAAAATAACACTGTATATAATCTTGATCTAGCATGTTGTCAGAAAAATTTGTCAACAAAGTTGGAGTAACTATTAATTTAATTTATTTCTCGTAAAATAGCTTTTTTTAACTTTTTTATATACTACTTTTAATTTTTTACACTTTTGCCAGGGTAAAGGTTCAATTGGTCCTCTTTACCCCACCCAGATGTGAGCTTTTATAATTGTTAACCCTTTCCACTCGGATGCCGTCGCTCTGGCCGCAAAATTCATATAAATCTCAGGATCAGCGAGTGGAAAGGGTTAAATCTAACTTAAAATTAACAGTACATCTTATAAAACAATTAAATCAATGGTCTTGTAGACTAAACGATAGTGCTCACAACCAAAAAAACTAACTAACAACGAGGGTAAATACTTTTGTTATGGATTTTCGAACATTGTCGTTTATCTCCCGTTAGCGTTAGAATCGAGGTGGTGGCTGGTTATACATTTTTTGCCTCTACTGTTAAATATTGTTGTTAAAAAATTCATAATTATTCTTGAGACATTGATGGTATTTTATAATATATATATATATATATATATATATATATATATTTAAGATTGAGTACATGTATCCATTAATATAGTTTCGGCTAAACTTGAACAACTGAAAATGCAACCTCAATACACTAATTTCCTTTCATTTCGTATAATATTATGAGAGTCCTGATTCATTCTGTTAGAGGCGGCTTACGTCGTGAATATTTATGTAAACTGGAGCAAAGCTCCAATAACAGAGGAACTAATGAAACCTCCGACATATATTGCAAGTTGTAGCTCGGGGCGTCACATACAAGAAATATAAACTTTGTGACGTGCGTGTTTACCGACAAACTAATATTTAGAACGAAACATATTACTTTAAAACAAACAATATTTATTTGAAATTGCAAAACCAGAGCCGGGATCATAAACGCGCTGTATTGACTCTTTGGATAAACCATGGGGAATAAAAATCGAGAAGTACAAACCAGAAGTGAAAACTTTTTGACCTGTTTGGGAAAAGCAAATGTTTAGGACGGAAAATAAAACTTTTCACAAAAAAAATCGTTTAGAATCCAATTTAACAATTAAAGGCAAAATATGTAACAGAGAAGGGCATTTAATGCTGTACCATTTACTATTTTGCAAATCATTTTATAAAATATTTGTTAGGGGGCGCCCGTTAATTTTGTGAGGTTTTTAGTAGAAGGGCGATTTTAACAAAAAATCATTCAATATCACAAGGGGGGGGGTGTAGTAAAATATTACGTGTATTTATTTTTTACCTGATTTTAATAAAAAATCAGTACCAAATCAAGGTTATCTTTTACAAATTGATCACGTGATTAATGGACTTTTTCCTTGCAGCAAAATGATTAATATTGTAATATATTTTCACGCTAAATATATTAATATTTTATCATCATCTAATTAAAACCGACGAACGAGTAATGTGATACTGAAAATTTCCTATTATCTCCTAGCTATGAAATTGAAGTAATAATTTATTTTGAATTACGTATAACATTTTTACCTCTTCGTTTATTGCGTTGGGTGTAATAAAAATGCAATTATTGCACAAAGGCAGTTGTGTATAAGATGAAATCTCCAGTTGCAACGGAATGAAGATTAATTTTTGGAGCAAATCATAAAGTTGGAAAAGACTAAACACGATATTGCATTTATCTTTGGAGCTGGGTTGCATATGTTGCAGAATATAAATACAATAGAAGGAAAATAGTATGTGAATTTAATAATTGTACATAAACATTGTAAGGGATTTATGTCGAAGGGGTTTTTATTGATATCAGATGACGCTGTTATATAATTGTCTGAATGCTAAAAATAATAAACTTTAATCTTCATATCCTAAATTTATTCAAATATCTATATACGATTGCAATAACTACACGATCATCTAGTTTACTAGATTTTCCAGTAGAGTGAATTTGAAAATACGATTTTCAAAAAGATCAAAAAATTTCCACGAGTTTTCCCAGAATATGATATGGAGAACTGTAGCAATCGCTTTTTATGCCACAGTTTCGAACAACCTTCGGCATGATAAATTTCTCATAAATCTCTCATCGTGAGATACCACGACCAAAAAGCAGCAAAACATTTCCGTGCCGACTCCGGGCAACTCGTGCACCTAGCTCATCGATCCGGATTTTTTTGTTTGTTTTCCGGATATCAGATGCACTTTGCATATTTCTTTTAAACCTCTATATTTGAGATGATAAAATGAAACAGATCGTATTTGTATAATTTAGCAATTAAAATAAATTTCAATATTATATCACTACCCAAGTTGATCTTCCAACATAATAAATCTCGAATCAAATTCTTTCATATCTCCAAACATATTTTATATTACTACCATAGAACAGTTCGCTTTCAGTACGAGCTTATCTTTACAAGATTCTTTTATCTGTTATAGTCTATTACAACTTTTAATTACTTTTCTTAGTTCATAAATTCTGGCTGTGCTTTCGACTTTGTGTAAAGAGTTCAGGAGTCCGAAGTTCAAATAACAAAGTTTTAGTGGAAAATCAGAATAAGAATGTTAATTGCTTATCCAAATTCAACTGCTGGAAATAATCGAATGAATTGAGCAAACTCTTAAATGCGGTGTGAAAAAATATCACTATTGGTAATGGAATTCGGTGGAAATAATCTGAAAAAGTCACAAACTCATAATTTGTACTTATTTTGAAAATAGCAGAATTTTATATCACATTTCAGTCGAATATGTGCTTCGATACCCAATTTCAATTTGCACAAGTGTCGGAATTTCCACAATATATATTCAAGCAAACTCTCTAACGTTAAATCGAGAAGAAGAAAGTACGTGCAATGAATTAAACCTGGCAGATTTATCGTACCCTGTATATATCCATTTTCATACTTACCTACTTATATATTTCATTTAAATGCGAACATTGCGCCTATAAATAATAATATAGGTTTCTATATTCAGCAAATGCGAGCCTGTGGATTATCGTTATGGTCCTACAACGCCGCTACATATAATCTTCTTCGCATTATATAATATATTAGAGGAATGTTTGTGAATGTTAAACAATTTCTACCGCAATTGGATTTTCGGACTTAAATAACAAAACAGAAGGTACTTCTGTTGTATAAATCTGGCATATTAAATGGTCACATACATCCACATAAAAATACAGAGTTTATTGTTCCGAGCGTTTTCTTCAAGATTATTTTCTACTATTGGTTCAGTTCCATCCAATTTAATGTTCTAACTGCGACGATTCTAAAATATATTGTTATGAGACTCGTCATTCGTTCATATTTTAGTTTTATAAATTTCCGCCATAAATTTTTTACTATCATTCAAACTTTGATATGGACTTGATGTTTTAAAATTATTTTATATTCAAATTTTTATGATTAGCATTAATATATTTTGATCCATTGTGAAGGCACTTTTTAAAACCTACATTTTGAGATATATTATTATAAAAATTGAATATTTTATATTAATAAAATTTAGGTTAGTTAGTTTCCTGTTATTATTAACTTCCCGTAGGGTGTGTGTCTGTGTGAGTGCGTATACAAATTTTCGTCGACGATTTCGGGAACACCGATCAACCGATTTGAATAATTCAAAAAACATTCGATTCGTATTGATAAGGAGACGTGCTGATTAGTTTTTGGCGAAGGCAGGTCTAGCCGTTCCGAAGATACGGGGCAAAAAGTGCCAAAAACGGAGCGTCAAATTCAACATTTTACTTGTATTAACAAAATGAAGAACTTATCAAATTTTCATGAAGGCAGGTCTAGCGGTTTCCGAGATCTAGTAAAAAAAGTAAAAAAATGCCATTTGGCGGTCAAAAATGATCATTAGACATATGCACATCAAATTATTATTATTATAGAGATTTCAACAATAAGTATAAATTTTGTTTACATTCCTATGGGTTCCGTACCAATGCTTATGCGTTAGACGGCCACGCGGCGCTTACGCGTTTCGATATTTCGTCTCTATGCAGTTAAAGCAATACGATTGCTTTGAAAAAAGTTCAAAATTTCCAAGATACTTCTAAATACGCTTTTCTTCAAAAAGTCTTTTTTGTTTCAAACAAAATTAAATTTTTGTCAAAAATTTATAGTTCCTCAAAAATCTAATTTTTCAG